GAAATATTGGGATCTACCTCCCCCAAATTCACGTTCCGCACTCTTGTGTTCCAGGTTACATACGATTATGCCACAATGCCCATCCTAACAATTAATTCGCGCAGTCCTCATTTTATGCACACAAATAACCTCTTGCGCGCACGCGTTTCTCAACCGTCATCAATTCGCACAACCGGACAACATATGGGACGAAATGCGCACGCGCGCGTCGTCGCGCGCGCTGTATTAACATCCGGCTTCGTACGAAATTCAAAATCGAGCGTTCCGAAAGCATATCAAACACTATTTCGCAACAGGAATTTGCAAACACCCCAAAAACATGCGCTCGAGCTATTCCGAAATCGTTCTTGCTGTTGTATATAAAAAACCATGGTCTTTCAACAATTACATCAGATACGACCAAACGCGCCGCCAGCGCGCGTGCCGGAATCGTTCGAACGCCCTTTTTCGCGTGCTGTTGAAGAACCCTTTGCGAAACACGCGCAGCGATGTGCACGCGCGCACGTCGTCGCGCGCGCAAGCTGGAATCAATCAACAAAGCTACGTCGCTTAAGAATTTCAAAACCGAGTGCCCCGAAAACATCTACAAACACTCAGTTCAGCAACGTCAATGTTCAAAGAAAGTCTTCGCGCGATCATTGCGTTTTCCTGTTGTTGCGAATTCGCCAAGGAACCATCGGTTACAACAAGGTGGCCGAATTCTCGATAAAACTAGCCGCTCGCGCCGCACGCCGAAATCATTCGAACGCCTTTGCGCGCATCCTGGGGGGGAGGAGGGGGCGCGCGGTCCCTGTGAAATAACACCTCGCGGGTCATTCCCGCATGTCGGCCGCGCGCGCATGTCGAACTCCGCCCAAAAAACTGCATCACCGACGCGAGGACACCGCCACCAAGAAAGGCATGATCCGTGTCCGTGCCGCATTGGCCTTGCCGCAATAATCGTCGTCATCGCCTCCACCGTCGCTGCTATCATCACCTTGTCTGCCCTTGTCGACGTCGCCGAAAGTACCGCGCACTCCCACGTCACCCACTCGCACTGAAGTGCCCGCTGGGAAGTGCCCCACGGTCAGCGCCACTGCGACCTCGTCGGTCGCGCCAAACTAGCTGGCCACGCGGCCGCAGAGATGCACCAACAAACACCAAACACTCACCGCAACCGCCGCCGCATGGGATTGGCTTTGGAATCCAAATTGCAGGCGGTTGGGTGGGATGGTTGCGTGAACAGTGGAACTGACAACTCCAACGATTTCAAACATTGCCGTTACGGTACCCAACCGTGACTTCACCACGTAGCTTCCACCACACTGATTGCATCACACCTATTGCAACACGCAGGTTGCACCACACATCGTAGCTCACACCGCATGGGCGCGTTAGCTCCTGCCACGTAGGTTACACAACCTAGCCTGCGCCACGTAGCTCAGACCGCATATATTGCAACACGAACAAATTGCACAAACTAACTTCCACAACATACATTGCATGACAATTAATGTTTGTGGTCCACGCTGGCTGACGTCTCCTTGCGTGACATGCTCCGCGTTCTCGCTTGTCTGGGTTTCCAGCGAACGAAAATGGCCCCAGAGGCCTCCAAGATGTACCCACGACGGCCCCGGCGGCCCCACAAGAGCTCCAATACACGGACCAAGAGGGACCCAGGACTGCCTAAAGAACTCCCCCCTCGAAAGACTGCCGAAGATATCGCCGAGACTGCCTAAGGGGCTACAAGAGGGCGCGAAGACGACCCAGAGAGGCCCAGACGACGGCCTCTGACTGCCCTGGACGAGCCAAGAGCGCTAAGACGTCCCAAAAGCCCCCCAAGGGTCCCCCAGAGGCTTCAGGAGGCCCCGAAGGCCCCCAAGAGGCTCCAATAGACTTGTAGCACCCTTTCTCCCTCACCTTTTACACCCTCGTCCTCTCTCCTATGTTATCCCGCGGTGTTCCGCAACGGCTTGAGCGAGCACGTAACCCCATAGAGTGACACAACTTCGGCTCAACGTGTGGCCACACTTGCCTTTCCAAACGGTACGGGGCGGCGGTAATTCGCCGTGGGCGTCTTCGATATTGAACTGGCAAATGATCGTGCTTGAGTTGTTCCTTGTGGGTTCTGACCGATCACGTGAAATTAGATGTTACCCTTCGCTCGTGTATGCATATGTGTGTTATGTGTGCAGCATGGTGCGTGTTGCGATGACGTGCTGCTCTCACATGACTGCTCAACATGCAACTCCCCCATGGTACTGGACCTCGCGGGCGCTGCAACGCACTGTTGCTTCACCTAGGGGCAGAGGAGATGCGCGCAACGTAGCAGATGGCATGGTTCAGTAAACTCTGTTGCACGTGAGAGCAGGATGTTCCATCTGCTGATGTTGGATGTTGCAGAGAGGACTCGTTCAAAACATATAGACTGGAACATTGTCTACCCAGTTTGGTATCATGTTCCCATCGAGAATCATGACTTCTTGCTTCGCCATTCACATCACTACGCCTTGCCGTGCACAGTGGCGGCTCATGCCATCTGTGCATCAGATCCGCCACCGTGCCCTTCGGCACGGAGTGAGCGCGTCCTCAGATCCTTTGTTTAATCCTCTAAGCCTCAATCCTCGCTCCTGAGGGTTTGTGAAAGGCCTGGACCACAAATTCCCAAATCTCCTTGGGATTGGCGCGGTTCCCCTGGGCTTCCCCACAGCTTCCCGTATATTTACTCGGGCCCAAGAGTGGCCCGGGACGAGCCAAGCGGGCCGCAAGAGGCCTCCCAAACGGTCCAAGAGGGCCTAGAGACGCCCCTCGGGGGCCAAATCATTGATCTACAAACGAGGTTGTTCAAAGATTTGGGGGTCCTCGACTTGTCGTGCTCCCGACGATCTCAGACAGCCCAAGAAGCCCCCTAGGACCGCCCGAAGACGGCTCGAAAGGCCCCCAGGAGGGCCACAACACGGCCCAACAGGGCCCCGAAGACGGCGTGAGGCGCCCAAGGTCCAAGAGGGGGAAAACGGCCCACAAGAGGCCTCCAAACGGCCCCCCGAGGCCACCGAGAGGCCCCCCCGCGACGTCCCAACGAACACCCTCGAGGCCTGCGGCCCACGACCCAGGCACGGTGGCGTTAATGTGCCGAAGGCCATTCGATAACCCTTCGTCGAATCTGGTTGGTCCCCGCTTGGTCTTCACAGGGGATGGAAGGCTCCACTGCTCGCGGCGAGCCTGGGGGGAAATCGGAAATTGAAGGCCTTCTCAGAAGGCTCGCAAGTCCCCCGGCCTTCTGCGAAGTTTTCTGAGCCTCTCCCCCGAAGACAGACAACAACTTCTCAGGAGGTGCGGAGGCCTCTGAGAAGTCCCGCCACCTTCTGAGAAGGCCTTCTCCCAGGGCTGAACCTGAACGGTGTGATTCGTTTTCGTTTTCCTTCTCATTCGTTTCGTCTTCCATCCGCCTTTACCGCTGAGCGCTGCCGAAACGAAAACGGCCCACGACATTCCCAAACAAAAACACCGTGTTGGTCCAGCCCTGCCTTCTCCTCCTCGGTTCCCCCCCTCGCTCGCCGCCGAGCTGCGGGTGGTGGAGATTGGCTCGGGCGTTGGCAGAACTGGGTTTAGTGGAACCTGGTTTAGTGATGTGTACCGGGGGGCGCCCCCCCCGCCCCGTTCCGCTCTCTGGAGCTGCCGTCACCCGAAAAACGCCAGTTACGGCAAACCGCGTTTAGTGAATCTGGCCAATTGAGGGGCCCCAAGGCCCTACCACTCGGGTCCCCTTACTCGGGGTCCTGGCTACAGTGTTCGGCCTGACCTAAGGAACGACAAATAAGGAACGAAGCACCTTTTATTCCAAGTAATTCTAGAGAATCCGAAGGAACACCAGGGGGACTCGCCGCCAAAAAGGTAGCGAAACGCATTCAAACCAAAGGAACGACCGAGCCCCTTTTGAGATGTAAATGTTCCTTATTCAAGCCAGACCCTGTATACCCGATTGGCGTGCTCGGGTCCCATGGGGGCCCGACGGCATCCGGGGCCGCGGCCGGCCGGGGGTCCGGGCAAGGCTCCCCGGGCGGACATGCACGGACACCAGCCTCCAACGGGGGGCGACCGGCGACCCCCCTCCCCGACGAGCTGCGGGAGCTTCGGCCTCTCTTCTGAGCGGCCAGCCTCGCGCAACACACCACCCCCGGCCCTGGCCAGGCCCATCGTGGGCCCTGGAGTAGTGCACAGGCCTGCCTGGCCCAGGCCAGCTCTGCATCGCTCTAGGGCCCAGGGAGTGCCTGGCCAGAGCTGGCGGTGGCGAATAGTTGGCGTCCCTCCGAGGCGCGCGCGTGGATGCACCCTCCCGCCGTTCCCCGCCCTCGCGCGCGCTCCGTTCCTGGCTCCAGTGCGCAGGCCGCCGCCAAAGTTTGCAGGGCAACGGCACGAAGGGACTGGCTCACCAGGAGGGGGGGGCATTGAGCTTCCATTGGCGATACGAGGCGAGGCTGGGGGTCCCAGGCAGCGATCGGCGAGGAGTGGCAGGTAGGGGGTCCACGCCCCCCCCCCCCGCCCGTTCCCCCCCCTGTCGCTGCCGATGATAGGGAGGCGCCCTCTCCAAAGCGCGAGCCGCTCGGGGAGCCGCCCCTCTCGGGGGGCGGCGCAGCCCTGCCCGAGAAGCCTGCGGGACGCGCGGAGTGACCCGAGGGATGACCAGCGACCATCCAGGATAGCCAAGATGAGCCAAGATGGGGCCGGGAGTACCTTCCCAGTGATCCAGAGTGACTCGACCCAAACTGTCTCAACCTATCAATCGAACGCGGGCTGCGGCATGTCTGCGCGCGGCTAGACCCCAGGGAAGCTCAGGACGAGAGAAGCACCCGCCTGGACACGAGGAGTGTTTTCACAGGTAACAGTCAGGACCGCACAGCATGCCAAGGGCTGATTGGAGAACGCTCGAGGCGATTATCGAATTACCTGGAAACGAATGATACAGGAACACATGATTGTCACCTCTTGCCTCGACGCAGCGGCTAGCGGAGGCGCCGCCCTTACAGCCGGAACATCGGCATCACAGCGTCGTAGAGGATGCCGCAGGAACCGCAGACCCACGCCTTCTTCGGGCCACCCCTGCAGCCAGAGCCGACTTCAGGCTTGTTGTCCCAGCCGCACTCCTCGTCCTCCTTGTCCAGGCGCTGCAGACGAAGCATGCCTCCCTCGCCCCAATTCTGGCCCCACGAATTTTTGATGTGCCAATACTTCACCTCCCCGTGCTTGGTGCTCATGGCCTTGCCGTAGCCGTAGAGCACGACCGCGTGGCTGATGACGTGGTTCCTGTCGCAGCCCTGCGGCGTGAGGATGCCGTGGTAGTACCAATTCCAGTCGGCCCCCGCGGCCACCGCGACCTAGAAGAAGAAACAACTGCATAAACAGAAACTTTTGGTGCTCCGCGCGGACTTCTTGGACCTGCGCTGGACCCCCCCTCCCCGGCGCGCGGAGCGCGCCAGACGCGGCGCCAACAAATTCTGTTTATGGCGTTGTTTCTTCTTCGAGCGACCGCGAGCGGCCCGTACTCAATCAGCGCGCGCACCAGGGGCCTCTCCTTGTTTTCGGGCAGCTTGGTCCAACCCAGCATGCCCATGGAGAGGCTGCCGCGCATAGCGTCGGGAAGCATGTGCATCTCGGACCCGTCTGGGCCCACCACGGCCTTCGAGGCGATGCCGGTGGACAGCAGCGACTCGGGCGGCCTTTGGTCCGCGGGGCACGCAGCCTGCGCGCCGCCGGGTCTCGCGGGGAAGTCGGACTCCAGGCTGAGGCCCTTGGTCAGCGCGTACTCGTACGCCAGCTCGGCGGTGGCCCCCTCGCAGCCTCCAGAGCCGCCGCACTCCTGCGGGTTCGGGGTGCAGGCCACGATCTGGGCGACGGAATACCTCTGGGTGTTGTTGTTGATCTCGGCGTGGGCGTTGAGCGCCGCGGTGGCGGCGTAGGCCCAGCAGCTGCCGCAGGATTGCTGATCGGTTGCCTGGGGCTAGTTGTACTTCAGAAACAACCGATCAGAAAATTATGGACCTGGATGCTCACGGAAGACAACCGCCCAGCAAGTCCCACAACCGCCCAAAACCAACGACATCGGTGGCCTCTGAACGAGTGTGTGTGTGCACATGTGGAGCAAACGTTGGTGGGTTGTGAATCATGAACATACGGACCTACACTAATAACTACCAGCATCATGTGTGAACGTAGCAACCCGCAGATGCGGATTCAGGGGGAGGGGGCGGTGGGGACGTCGGCAGTTTGCGAGACTCTGGAGAAGCCCGCCGCAGGCGCCAAAGTTGCACAAATCATACAACGAGCCTGCCGCAGACGCAAATTCTTTCATTAAACCAATGTGGGTAGGTCGCGGGTGGGTCGCAAATGGGTCGCGGGTGGGTGGCAAATGGGTCGCGGGTGGGTCGCGCGTGAAGGAGGCAGAAAATCCACGCCAGAACAATCACCCCGACAATCGAAGTCGTTTGACGGAAAGCGCGCGTTAGCGTGCGGTCCGTTAGTCGGAAGAAATTGGACTTGGGGGAGTTCGAAGGGGTTGACATCGCGGGGCCCGGATCTAATTACCCTCCCGCCTCGTTTTTTATCGAGTCGGACGGCCTTCGGGGCTTAAAAACAGCGTTTCGCTCGAGACATCATCGGAGAACGCTTCTTGGGCGCTTCTTGGGCCATCTTAGGCGCCTAAGGCAGCCCAAGAAGCGGCCAAGACGGCGCCCAAGACGGCCCAAGAAGCGCCCAAGACGGCCCAAGAGCGCTCCAAGAGAGCCCAAGACCGCCCAAGGCGGCCCCAAGACGTCCCAAGAGGCCTCCACGACGCCCCAGGAGGCGCCCACGAGGCCTCCCAAGAGGGCCCCACGAGGCCAAAATCATTGATTTTCTAAGGAAAACGTGCATTTCTAGCATATACGGCTTTTCGCTTTTCATGGCGTTGAACACGGTCCAAGGGGCCCCCAAGACCGCCCCAAGACGGCCCAAGATGTTCCCAAGAGGCCCCCAAAATAGCCCAAGAGGGCGCCAAGACAGGCCAAAAGGCGCCCAAGACTGTCCAAGAGGCCCCTAAGAGCGCCCCAGGAAAGCCCAAGAGGCCCCCAAGAGGGCCCCAAAACGGCCCAAGAGGGAGCCAAACCGGCCCAAGAGGCGCCAAGACGGCCCAAGACGGCCCCAGGACGGCCCCAAGAAGGCCCCAAGAGGCCCCAAGAGAGCCCAAAGACGGTCAAAGGCAGCCTGTTCCCTTCACCCCCGCAGCCCAGAAGCTCCCAGGAGGCCCCAAGAGGCCCCCGAAAAGCCCCAACAGGTCCCCAAGAGGCACCCAAGAGGCTCCCCAAAAGCCCCCCAAGAGGCCCAACATACTCCCAAAGGCTCTTAGCACCGCGGCTCCCAAGAGCGAGCGGTGACGTAATCGAGCTGATAAAACCAAAGCTCCCAACAGAGAGCTGCGGCGCAATAAGTTCTTGACGCCAAGGCACAGGGACGGGCGGCAACGCGTGGACAACGAGCGGTCCACGCAAGGAAAACGCGGGGTTCTGGAAAACTGGCAGCCCAAACGCGGAAAACGCAACGCGACCCGACCGCCCCCTCCAAAACAAGAAACGCGCTCAAAGAAAGCTCCGCGACTCTCCGAGGCTGAGGTAGGACAAGAGCGATGGGAAGGGAGTCAATAAGAGGTGTAAGAGCGGACGAGCCAGCGACCCCGTGCGCTCTGAAAGTAAGTGCGTTTTCCGTCCCCGTGCCAAGCAGGTCTAATTGCCCTCCCGCATTGTGTTCTATCGAGTAGGACGGCCTTCGGGACTCAAAAACAGCGTTTCGCTCGAGACATCATTGGAAAACGCTTCTTGAGCGCTTCTTGGGCCTTAGGCGCCTAAGACAGCCCAAGAAGCGGCCAAGACGGCGCCCAAGACTGCCCAAGACGGCCCAAGAAGCGCCCAAGACGGCCCAAGAGCGCTCCAAGAGAGCCCAAGACCACCCAAGACGGCCCCAAGACGTCCCAAGAGGCCTCCACGACGCCCCAGGAGGCGCCCACGAGGCGTCCCAAGAAGGCCCCACGAGGCCAAAATCATTGATTCTCTAAGGAAAACGTGCATTTCTAGCATATACGGTTTTTCGCCTCTCATGGCGTTGAACACGGTCCAAGGGGCCCCCAAGACCGCCCCAAGACGGCCCAAGATGTTTCCAAGAGGCCCCCAAAATAGCCCAAGAGGGCGCCAAGACAGGCCAAAAGGCGCCCAAGACTGTCCAAGAGGCCCCTAAGAGCGCCCCAGGAAAGCCCAAGAGGCCCCCAAGAGGGCCCCAAAACGGCCCAAGAGGGAGCCAAACCGGCCCAAGAGGCGCCAAGACGGCCCAAGACGGCCCCAGGACGGCCCCAATAAGGCCCCAAGAGGCCCCCAAGAGAGCCCAAAGACGGTCAAAGGCAGCCTTGTCCCTTCACCCCCGCAGCCCAGAAGCCCCCAGGAGGCCCCAAAGAGGCCCCCGAAGAGCCCCAAAAGGTCCCCAAGAGGCACCCAAAAGGCCCAAAATACTCCGAAAGGCTCTTAGCACCGCGGCTCCCAAGAGCGAGCGGTGACGTAATCGACTTGATAAGACCAAAGCTCCCAACAGAGAGCTGCGGCGCAATAAGTTCTTGACGCCAGGGCACAGGGACGGGCGGCAACGCGTGGACAACGAGCGGTCCACGCAAGAAAAACGCGGGGTTCTGGAAAGCTGGCAGCCCAAACGCGGAAAACGCAACGCGACCCGACCGCCCCCTCCAAAACAAGAAACGCGCTCAAAGAAAGCTCCGCGACTCTCCGAGGCTGAGGTAAGACAAGAGCGAGGGGAAGGGAGTCAATAAGAGGTGTAAGAGCGGACGAGCCAGCGATCCCGTGCGCTCTGAAATTAAGTGCGTTTTCCGTCCCCGTGCCAAGCAGGTAGTAAACGCACACAAAGCATGAATCGAACAGGGCAGGGCTGTTTCGTAAACGCCGAAGGCGTCAATTGTCGGGTCCGGGTGGTTTCCCCCCATTGATGGTGGGTCGCGGGCTGAGTCGCGGGAAGGTCGCGGGCTGAGTCGCGGGAGAGTCGCGGGGTGGGTCGCGGGGTGGGTCGCAGGGAAGGTCGCGGGTGGGTCGCGGGGTGGGACGATGACGGCAAACAGCAACAACAACACCAACAACACCACCACCAACAACTTGTCCGCACGTCATTTGAAAACGAATTCCCCACACCCTCGATACCCACCCTTTTTGTCTTCGGTCACGCCCCCTTTGGGGGATTATTTCTCTTTGTGGGGGGCGGCGGGCTTAGACAGGCGGGCCAACATGAACGGGCGGACAATCCTTCGTGGGCTTACATGTGCCCGCCATTGAAATTGGTGTGGGCCCTGCAAGAAGAGGAGGGGGAGAACGACGGATAGTGGGAGGAAGGGGGGAGGGACGAAGGAAGAGGGAAAGCGCCAGGATGAAGGGCGAAGAGGGAGAGGTTGATTAGAGGCAGAGGGAGAGAGAGAGAGAGAGGAAGAGGGGAGAGAGAGAGAGAGAGAGAGAGAGAGAAAAAGAGAGAAAAAAACACAAAACAAACGAAGGAAAAAGGAGGCAGGAGAGGGGAGGGAGAAGGAAGGAGGGAGAGGAGGGAGAAGGGATAGGGCAGAGAGGCATAATAATGAGGGAAGAGAGGAAGGAGAGGGACGGGAGGAGAGGAGGGAGAAGGGAGGAGGAGCAGGAAGGTAAAAGCGTGAACGTTCGAGGAAGTCCTAAGCGAAAGCGCCGCTCGTGAAGGAAGTCTCGGGCGGGACCCTACGACGGGCGGGCGATCCCCTGACGGCCGGATCGGGAAGGTGGGACATTCAAGTGGGTTGCCTGAGTATGACGAGAGCGCGATTACTAAGTAATTTGTAGCGGCGTCCTTGGCGCAGCGTGTTTCCTGAGCGTCGAAAGCGCGATTACTGGATACATCGCATGGAAGTCACAGGCGAGAGCGCAAGTCCTGAGTACACTGTGAAAGGTTTTCTGGCGGGGGCGGGGGTCTTGATTAATTTGCAAGAAGTTTTGGTTCAATTGCGAAGAAGTCTCAAGCGGGAACGCCGTTCCTGAGCAAAGTGTGGGGAAGTCTCAGATGGGAGCGGGGGTCCTGACTAAATTGTGAGGAAGTCACATGCGAGAACACCGATCCGGAGTAAATTGTGAAGGGGGGTTCAATCGCGAGGGTCCAGAGAAAATTTTGAACAAAACTCAAGCGGGAGTTGGATGGGGGGGCCAGGGGCCCAGTTGGAACATCAAGACTTCCCTTAACAGAATTACCCAGGCGAAAGACCCAACCATATGAAGTTGTGGGGACCGCAATTGTGAATATGTTTTTCGGTGAGGCTCCCTATGGGGCCACGAAGCGCTGCGCTGGGTGGGGGGGAAACGCATGCGGGCGGTAGCACTGGGGCTGTCGGTGGAGCTCCCTATGAGGCCACGAAGTGCTACAATGGGCAGGTGAAAATACCAAAATAAGCGTGTGGGACGCACGCAGTCGGTCCAAGTGGGGGCTCCGGTGGAGTTCTCCATGAGGCCGCAAAGCGTTGTCAAGGGTGGGTGTCAATGCCAAATTGGGTGTGGGGGGGCGCATGCGGGCGGCCCCACTGAAGGCTTCGGTGGGGCTTTCTATGGACATCTGGTGTGGGGGACGCGCGCGGGCGGTCCCATTGGGGGCTTCGGTGGAGCTTCCTATGGGGCCACGAAGCGCTGTACTGGGTGGGTGACAATGCCAAATCGGGTGCGGGGGACGCATGCGGACGGTCCCACTGGGGGCTCCGGTGGGGCGCCCTATGGGGCCACGACGCGCTGTACTGGGTGGGTGACGGTGGTAGTTGTGTGTGGGGGACGCACGCAGGCGGTCTCTCTGGGGGCGTCGGTGGGGCCTTCCTATTGGGCCACGAAGCGTTGTATTGGGTGGGTGACAATGCCAAATTGGATGTGGGGGACGCGCGCGGGCGGTCCCACTGAGGGCTTCGGTGGGGCT